GGAGTGTGGCAAAGCCTTTAGTGATAGTTCGGTTCTAACTAACCATCAGACAATTCATACTGGAGAGAAGCCTTACAAATGTGATGAATGTGGCAAGGTCTTCAGTCAAAGGTCACACTTGGCAAGTCATTGGAGAATTCATACTGGAGAAAAACCTTACAAATGTAATGAGTGTGACAAGGTCTTCCGTCAAACTTCAAGCCTCGCATGTCATCGCAGAGTTCATACTGGAGAGAAAGCTTATAAGTGTAGTGAGTGTGACAAAGCCTTTTATACACATTCAAGCCTAACTACCCATCAGGCAATCCATACTGGAGAAAAACCTTACAAATGTAGTGAATGTGGAAAGGTCTTCCGTCAAAATGCACACCTTACAGTTCATCAGAGAATTCATACTGGAGAGAAACCTTACAAGTGTAATGAATGTGGCAAAGCATTTGGTGCATCTTCAACCCTAAGTACCCATCAAGTAATCCATACTGGAGAAAAACCTTACAAATGTAGTGAATGTGGAAAGGTCTTCCGTCAAAATGCACACCTTACAGTTCATCAGAGAATTCATACTGGAGAGAAACCTTACAAGTGTAATGAATGTGGCAAAGCATTTGGTGCATCTTCAACCCTAAGTACCCATCAAGTAATCCATACTGGAGAAAAACCTTACAAATGTAGTGAATGTGGAAAGGTCTTCCGTCAAAATGCACACCTTACAGTTCATCAGAGAATTCATACTGGAGAGAAACCTTACAAGTGTAATGAATGTGGCAAAGCATTTGGTGCATCTTCAACCCTAAGTACCCATCAAGTAATCCATACTGGAGAAAAACCTTACAAATGTAGTGAATGTGGAAAGGTCTTCCGTCAAAATGCACACCTTACAGTTCATCAGAGAATTCATACTGGAGAGAAACCTTACAAGTGTAATGAATGTGGCAAAGCATTTGGTGCATCTTCAACCCTAAGTACCCATCAAGTAATCCATACTGGAGAAAAACCTTACAAATGTAGTGAATGTGGAAAGGTCTTCCGTCAAAATGCACACCTTACAGTTCATCAGAGAATTCATACTGGAGAGAAACCTTACAAGTGTAATGAATGTGGCAAAGCATTTGGTGCATCTTCAACCCTAAGTACCCATCAAGTAATCCATACTGGAGAAAAACCTTACAAATGTAGTGAATGTGGAAAGGTCTTCCGTCAAAATGCACACCTTACAGTTCATCAGAGAATTCATACTGGAGAGAAACCTTACAAGTGTAATGAATGTGGCAAAGCATTTGGTGCATCTTCAACCCTAAGTACCCATCAAGTAATCCATACTGGAGAAAAACCTTACAAATGTAGTGAATGTGGAAAGGTCTTCCGTCAAAATGCACACCTTACAGTTCATCAGAGAATTCATACTGGAGAGAAACCTTACAAGTGTAATGAATGTGGCAAAGCATTTGGTGCATCTTCAACCCTAAGTACCCATCAAGTAATCCATACTGGAGAAAAACCTTATAAATGTAATGAATGTGGTAAGGAATTCAGTCAAAGGTCACACCTGGCAGGTCATTGTCGAATTCATACTGGAGAAAAACCTTACAAATGTAATGAATGTGGCAAGGTCTTCAATCAGACTTCGAGCCTTGCAAGTCATCGGAGAACTCATACGGGAGAAAAACCTTACAAGTGTAATGAGTGTGGCAAAGCCTTTAGTATTCGTTCAAGTCTAGGTACCCATCAGATAATTCATACTGAAGAAAAACCTTATAAATGCCATGAGTGTGACAAGGTCTTCAAGCACAGTTCACTCCTCACACAACATCAGAGAATACATTCTTGAAATCATCCTTACAAGCACAATGACTATGGCAATTTATCATGAGTTAACTGAGATTGGAGAGTTTATACTAAAGAGAAATCATAAAACTGAGATGTATGTGTCTTTCTCCAGGTTTTACAACTCACTAGACACCAAAATATATTTTTGATGAAACAACACAAATGTAAGTACTGAGGCTATTAAGCAAGGGTCAACATTGTACATCAGAGGATTTTACATGAGGAATAACTCAGTCTCTTGATCTCCAACATTAAGTCAAAATATGTTAAAACTCATGACATGATATGTACCCAAGGTACCAAGACATTTGGAAATGGCTGGTTCCCTTGAGGTTATAGAATACTTTATTCCATTATTTGAGGTTTCTTGAATAGGCTATTATTTATGACTTTCAACCTGAACTTTGAAATTTGTTGATATGCATCCTTGCATGCCTTTCATGGTGTCCCTGGGTAAAAATCAGTAGGCTGAATGGTCCTGCTTTATTAGGTGAAGGTCATTTCTGTCTAAGTTCTTTGAAGAAAAGGGCTCTGCCTTTTTAAAATTTGATATTTTCTGAATTAGAGGGCATGGAGAAGTGTAAAACTATGTTGTGAATCATTATGCCCATTGTGCTCAGGGTGCCCTTCTTCTGACACATGGGCACCTTGAGTAATAGGAAAGGAAAGCTCTACCAGCTCATCATGAAATACAGCCTGCCAACACCTTAGGAGATTCGGATTTTTATAGGAATAGGATGATATTTTATTGGGGACTGAATATGTGGTAGAAATAATGCAGGGGAAATGGTGGCCTCTTCATTGAAAGGCAATAGCTGTTGTATACTAAAGAGTGGTGAAGCAGTCTTATTTTTGAAATTGCAAAGACAACAGTTATCAAGGTGGAGTGTGTTATCAAAACAACGAGAATTAGCATTTTCAGTAGGATTCACATTTAACTGATGGTATTATATTTTGCTACTGTTTTATTCGTAGTTGTTCATAGGTTTGATGTTTTAATAAAATTTAATTTTTTAGAGTTATGAATGAATCATATTCTTTCTACCGACGTGGTTTTATCCTACCTAGTAGGACACTTCATAACCAACAATAACAATGCACCAATAGGCACTTAAGGTTGAAAGATCTATAACAATTTTTTTTTCTTGATGGAATCAAATGACATATAGTTTTGGGAACATATACTCCTGCAGTATGCTTGAGTTATTTTCTCCACACTGTGCCCTAGGATACTTATGAGGGTATTATGAAAATCCAATAGTAGTGCAACTTTGAACACTTACACCTTAAAACCTGCATGATTTTTTATGATATGCACTGTATTGTATTTCTACATGCCTCTTCTTCGTGTACCAAATAAAACATGGCATGCCCACTGATTTAGGGGAAAATATAGTAAAAAAATAAAAAATATTTTGAAATTTAAAAAATGTAGTGAATAAAGATAAAATTAACATATCTTTTTTTGTCCTTGGAGTGCTCAGTGAAATAATTTGAAAAAATATTTATGAATGTCCTCTTAAGATTGGACATACAGAAAGAGAATTTTGCCTGTTTTGTTAGATAAACTAGAAATGTCATATTCACCTTCAAAACATTTTGCGTAATTTGAACTTGTGACCACTTTACTGGAACTGGGTTAAACTTCACCTGAAGTTTGGTTTGAATAACAGGAATGAAGGTATTATACACTTAAGTGTTAAGAGAATGTTTGTGGCATAATGAGGTGTTCTGGGGAAAGGAGGGAAGACTTCAAAACTGGTCCAAACAAGGCTTGAGAGAGCAAAGATGTGTGACTGGGGTGTGACCTACATGTGGCTTGAACTTCCAGCTGGTGCCAAAGGAGAGAGCACTCAGACATTATCAGCAGGATGGGAAGCTGGAGTGCAGAGCTGTAAAAGAGGTTAGTAGTCAGCATTGCAAATGGAGTCTCCTATGACACTGAATGTTTTCTTTTTTTTTTTTTTTTAACTTTTGTTAGGTGTTAGGATTAAGTTTTGCTTTTCTTAAGTTTATTTGTTAATATTACTTTTTTTTTTTACATTCTATAATGTGGAGCAGTTGGGGGGAGGGGGGAAAGTAGTAGGAAATAGGGTGGGAGGAGGAGGAGTGGGGTTGAGGCCTATGGCACCCCCCTCGTTTCTGCATGGGAGACCAGGGGACTTCCAGTGGTGGTTTGGTCATTGCTGGGCTGCATGCAGATGTCACAGGGGTGTGGCTGAAGCCCTCACCGCCACCCCCCACTACCCCAGCTTGAGAGCATGAGGTGCTTCCTGCAGTGGCTTGGTGGTCATTGCTGGGCTGGTTGCAGGTGACGGGAGCATGGCCGAGGCCCTCAGTCCCCACCCTCGGGACTGGTTGTGGATGTTGGGGGGCATGGCTGAGATTCCCAGCCCTCCCCACTCCCTGGCTTGGTAGCCTAGGGGACTTCCGGTCCTTCTAGGTTTTATAGGTGTTCTTTGCTAAGGAGAGACCATTACTAGTTAGTATCAAACTTTGTCTCTGGTCTGTGGGTATTTTGTTTTTTCTTTCAGTTTTGTGTTGGATTATTTGCTGTTCCTACCACTTAAACTCTGCACTAGAACTAATCCGTTGTCCTTTGCTTCCAAAAAGGGGGAACTTCCTGTGGGGACCAGCACTTGAGCTCTGTGGTTGAGCTAAAGTTTTGCTTTGCTGCTGATTCCCTGGGGAAGACTTTTTGTGCAGCTCAGGTTTTGATGGTTGACTTTATAGGTACTTCTGGGTCTAGTGAGACATGGTACACCTGGGTTGTATAGAAACTCTGGTCTGGGCCTGGGTCTTTTCAGCAAACTGTACTCCCTGCAGTTCTGTGTTCCTGACCAGTTTCCTCTGAGTGGTCCTACACTGATTGGGGAGCAGATCAGCTGTCTCTGCTGTGCCCCAGTGTTCTCCCGGTGGGCCCATATCCCCTACCATCTGTGGTCCAAACACTTCCCATGGGACAGGCTGTAGGCTGGTGCTGACTCACCGGCCTCTGAGTGGCTGCTTGCTCCTATGTGGGTCCATGGGAACAGTTAGTAGTCTTGCACCAAGGCTCTCTTCTCCCCTGCTGCCTCCAACTATCTCCATCCAAAGGGCACAACTGCAGCTTTTGCCAGCTCAGTGAGCTCACCAGAGCCAGCCTTGAAGTGGCTGGGGCTTGAAACTGTCAGAGCAGTCCTTTCTCTTATCATGGCTTCTCCTACCTTCAGGCATTCCATAGGTTTCTCCTCATCTTCCCCTGAGCTCCAGAGGCCCCAGCTTGGCTGTTGTTGCTTTTTAATAGTTGTAAATTTGTTGATTTACAAATAGTTGTAAATTTTTAAATTGTTGTAAATTTGGAGAGAAGGATGCGGGGGGGACCATCTATTCTGCCATCTTGACTGGATCTTGAATGTTTACTTTTGAAATTCCTGACTTCTTGGTTGGGAAAGACCCCAGTCTTATTCTTGGTAATAGCTTACTACATTCCTTTTTCTGCTGCACACATAGGTCCCATTGCATAATATGGTTGTTGAAAATGTTTGTATAATACTGTTTAGATAAATTGCCTAAGATAATTTTACACTAATTCAATGAAAGCTAATGAGTGGAAATGTTTATTAAAGAATAAATATGAATTAGCACTTTTACTAGAATGGTATTTTTCCAATGGTATGGGCATGCCATTTTCAGATTCTGGTATTGAGCAATATACTCCCTGCTTCATTTTCAGCTGTGGTAAAGTTACTTTTTGTTTTTGTATATGAATTTTACTTACAGTTTTCCCTCCTTCTATTTGTCATGACCTAGGTTGTATGTTCAAATATTTCTTTCCTATGTTATTCCAGTAAAAAATATACGGCATATATAAATGACAGTATTATTTGGAGACACAATTTTGTGACATGTAAATGCACATGAGACAAGGGAAGCCACAAACTAGATTCTCTATAAATATGAAAAAGAAGTGTCTCTTTAAAGTTTTTAGTTTAATGACAGTACTAGGATGATACAAGAAGGTAAACTGAAGTCTCTTAATGTGGGAGTTATCTAAGATCAGGTGCTTGAGAATCAAGTGTGTGGAGGTTAACCAGCATCGGTACAGGTAAAGAAAAATATGAGAGAAAGTCCCCAAGATTTCAAAAATAGTTTGTTACAAGGAGATAATCTCCATTGTTGAATCCCTGAAGGTCACTCTGCCGCTTAGTACTCACTGATATTTCTATTTTGAACCAGAGGATGTTGCAGGAAAACATGACATTTCTGCTAATTTTACCATGGCAACTCACACCCAATATATGCTCCTTCAATTTTTTCATATCCAAAAATAATGTTTTCTTTCATAAGTGATTTCTTAGGTTTGCAAATATATTTTACTTTCTACCAATCAGATTTAGAGTAAGAATCACTGTTATTAATGCTTTATGTGTAATAACTAAACCTTCAACTGTCTGAAATAAGTATTCTCATTTCAGAAATGAGGAAACCTAGGACAAAAACAGGTTATAAGACTCATTCAGTCACATCCCAGTAAGTGGCTGAATCACGATTTGAATCCATGTTGTCCTAGCAAAGGTACTATAGTAACAATGCTAGTTATTTTTGTCCTTAAACTACTAAACATTTATACTATTATGTTAGTATCTCCCATCATTTCCAAGTGGTTTATCTTTATATATCTTTGTGATGGTGGTGACTTTCTATTATATCTACACTTATATCATAGATCACCTATGAATTCTTACTTTGGTTAAATGGAGATATACTCATTACTACATAGTCCTGTAAGAATGATTATCCAGTCTTCCTGGGGAAGCATTCAGTCCCTGAAGTATGTGTTTATGATTCTTAAATATCATTTCACCAAACTGCAATTAACAATTCATTAATAGTGACAATGATGGTGCACACATACTGAGCTAATCTTATTTTGAAAACATATGTTCCCATTGCCAACTTCCCCAAACATTAGAAGTTCCTTATGTACATCACCAAAGACATTTTGGAGTGGTTGGTCAGAGCTCTTTCTTGTGATTAGCGTTTCACATGGAAGTAGAAGAAAATGGTGTGGTCTGCCACTTGACAGTCATGTTTGAAATCCTTTCATACGCC